GCACAATGTCAAGTCTCTACACAATTTTTTTTTTTTTCTATACACTATTATGATACCAAATTTTAAACGTTCAATCCTCTATTAAACTTGCACTAGCGAAAAGTATTAAAAAAATATTTCCAATAAAAAAATGACCAAAATACTCCTGAAAACTTCAAGGGGTATTTTGGTCATTATATTTTATTGAAAAATTATTTTTAATATTTTTTATAGGTGCGCCCCAATGAGAAGATGGCTCATACTAATTTTTTATTCATACAATTTGTTTAACAAAAGCTAAGATCAAATGGTGAGTGGCTCTCTTGATCAAAATTGAACGGCTGGATGGTAGGAGAAATATAGATCTTCTATGTTGTCGGGGAAGTATGGAAACCTTTCCCAAAACTATTTAAGGGGTTAGAAGATAAAATGATAAAGTTCATCCCCTTACAAATGTTTCAAATTTCATGGTCTATAAGAAATCACATGTCAAATTGGAGTATACCGTTAATTTTTTTCTATTTTTTTTATATATTTCATATTTTGAAACTATTATTTTATTATTTTATTTTATTAAAATTTAGTAGAATTGAATTCACTGAGGACTAGATCGATTTTGACAGGACTAAATCCTTTAGGATAATATTTTTTGTGAGTTGTACTATCTTAATACTTCTTGCATTTTGCTTCTTTTTTTGGTTAGGAGAAATAAGACTGGGAATTTAAACCAAATGTGTTAAAAGGCAGTTATTTCCAATTTCATTCATGTTTGCGTTTTCAATTTTATTTTAATTGCCATGATTATGAATTTCATTAGCAAAAGAATTAGGACCCTGTTTGTATGCCCCAAGAAGTCAATTAAAGATGTTTATTTATTCATTAATAAGAGAAAAATACGTCTTTTAATCATTTTTTGCAGCATTCACTGCGCTCTGAAAGTCGATCGCCCAACAATATGGGAGCTGACCAATATGGGCAGATTTTCGCTCTTAAATTGGTGGGGCAGACATGAATTGAAAAACTTTCTTTCGAAAATGTTACATTTTTCATTCAAGGAATGGTAAAATGTACAATGAGCTTGATGAACAATTATCATAAAAATGGAAGAGGAAGACTATACACAGGGCTACAAGGTGGATGGCTAGGAACTTCCTTTCATTCCATACAATTACTGGTTCATCATGAAAAGAATTTCCATCATCTGACAAAAACTGTGTACCATGAAAGAAACTTCCAGGATTCCACGTTCTTCCTCATTCTCATGAGGATTCAACCCAACATCTTATCGATTGGAGATCAGCAAGCCCCCTTTTGCTAATTGATATGCCGCACTATTCCTTTCTTTGTCGACATGTTGAAATACATATTCCTTAGCGGATAGCAGATGAAGAACTTTGCCAACTCCATGCTGTTTTGGGTTAGAACACCATGCTATCACATTTCCAGAATCCCCCTCTATAAACACTTTCATAAGGGAACTTAGCAATACCATACTTAAGTGCCCATAGTTAAACCTCATTAGCGGAACAAGGGTGAGAGGAGCTTGTATGAGAGAACAGAACAAGGGTGAGAGGAGCTTGTATAAGAGAAAACAATAATGCCCAGATCATTTCTATGCAAAACTCTTGCCACAGATACACCACCATCACTTCTTGAGCTATGACTAAAATTTAGCTTCAACCAATTAAAAGCTTTTCTTTGACATTTGCGGTGGGACAAGGCTGGTATATGCAAATCGTTCAAAATATAGCACAGCTTGAATCCCGGTAACCATTAACATTGTAGCCCATGGTTTCACCTCTTCCCTGCTGCAGGTCTTAGCCCTCTATTCCTTTCTTTCCAAATGGACCGATTTTCACTCTTAAATTGGTGGGTGGGAGTGAATGGGCCAATTGTCACTCTTAAATTTGTGGAGGGGACAATATGGCCGCATTACTGAAATTTGGCCTGCTGAAACTTGCCCTAATTTGTTTAGTTTTTAAATTGACATTATATAGTAATGCGCAGGAAATATTGATCCAGATGACCACCAGAAAAATGGTCACGGGAGGTCATCACAGCCCATTTGTTTGGATTGACTTGGACGATGAACTGAGAATCACCATGACCATGTGGAAGGTTGTCCATCACCATAACATAATTTGTGCATTTTTTTTTCCCTTAATGTATCCTTTTCTCCTAGCCCTCAATGGGAAAGAAGTAAGTTATCTCCTATTTGCAACATCTTCAACCAATATGAGTATAATGGGGAGGTTGTTGTGGAAGGTGATACTAGGTGGGAACACATTTGTTGAGCAAAAAGGGGACAAGGTAGAGAGGATATTGGATAGCCACATCATCTCTACCCGTGGGGATTACAGTTGGTATTTGGTACAGTGAAAGGGCCAGCCTGACTCAGAAAGTTAATGGATTTTTAATGAAAAATTGATGAAGATTTGACCCAGAAGCTGTTGAGGGGTTTATTGTCAGCTTGAACTCGAGGACGATTTCTCTTTAACCTACAGACATTGATGAAGAACAAAACAAAAAAAAAAATTAACATTTTGTGGACTGCATTTTCTCATATAGTTTTTTGGTACGCAGGGGTATTTGGGATATTTTTTGTAATTTCTGAAATTTACAGAAAGCCAAGACGTCCCATTTAAATTTTGAGCCTAAAAAAAATTAAAAAAAAAGGTTAGGATTTGAATGTAAATTTCTCTTGGAAAAAGGAATTGTTCATTTGGGACAGTATTCATTAATACTCTTTAGAGAGTCTAATTGTGCATGGCATGGAAAAGGTATTTTGCATCACTTATGAAGGGGTAGAGTCCATTAATACTCTTGAGAAAGTTAAGAGAGCTTTGGTTTAGAAGTCAAGCCAGGTCTCTCAAAGATGAAGACTTTAGCCTGTTGGAATCAATATTTTTTATGTAAAATTCCAAAAATCAGGAACTTAGTTCCCCTTTTGGGTTGTCTTTGTACCTCACACAAATCATTGAAGCTAGGTTTTGTTAGCTTTAGCCCATTGTCTCTGAATCACAATTGGAATTTCTTAACTTCTTCCCCATTGTGAGTTATTTCTCTCCCTTTTCTCTCTATTTTACGTTAGGATGTTGAAGCTTGTAGCTCCCAGTCACCCCAATCACCTTGTTGCAGTGAGTCAGAGCGAGAGGATTTGTCTTTTCCTTTCATCCAGCTATTCTCCTTATTCCACCAATGTTTTAGAGGTATTTATGCAATTTTAAGTTGAAGATTAAATGATTTTTTTATTACAAGAAAAATAACATAAAGTATTAGACCTTTTTAGAGAAACCTGGGTTGACTTTAAATTTTCAGAATCTGCGACGTAGAAAGACTAGGATCATTTTCAAACAATTTGACGAGTTTTTATTATATCTGACAATCAGAAAAGTAGCAGCAGGGCTCAAATAGAACTGATCAGAGGAATTCTTCGATACGAGAAGTCAAAAGACTAGGTTATATTCAGACCAATGGTTTAAAAAACGGATCGGTGATCCGGATCGGGCTTCCAAAAAACCTATCCGGATCGACGAATCGGCGATCCGGATCGGAAATTGGGTGAATCGGTCAGAATAAAGTTAAAAAAAAATTCGAAAAAATTATTAAAATTAATTATAAATATTATTTTTTAGGAATTCAATAAAAAATGATAGTACTCCAC